ATATCCTTGTTATTCACCAGTACCAGCTTGAGCTCGAATTTTTCTACTTGTTGGACCTTTAGTAGTCAATATTTATGATTAATTCACTAGAAAAAAGGTTGAATACTAAATCATAATTATGTTACTTGAGTCTGAAAAACAAAATGCTCAAATGTACAAATAGAAAACTACAAATGTTTTCATCATCAATCAAATTTAAGAAGAGTATGTAAATTTATTGGAAAAACAGCTTAGTTTTTCTGATTAACATCTTTTTAAAACAATAAAAATTTTTGATTAAAAAAATAAAATTTTAATCGAAGAGTAAACATCAATGGTAAATATTTATTTCTGTTGATAAATGAGATTGTTCAAATCGTTTGGTTCTTAATAGAAAGACATGATTCATATCAAAGGTCTCTATGGGCTGGACTGGATCCAAGAGAGCCAGTCCATGGCTTTCTATTCAAAAAATTTCGACCCATTGACTAAGATCGGGCGGTACTTGATCCGGCTCAGTCTGAGCTCTAATCCACATTCCATATTTGAAACTATATGAAACACAAAAAATATGGTCTTTCGAAGAACGTTTTGCACTCATTTTTATCGGATTTATTTTAGTTTTTTGCATGTTGTGGTTAATTATTCGGTTATTATAAAAATAAAAATAACTTTTTCGTGCGTATATAATTTTTTTTTTTCTATTTTTATCTCATTTATCTGAAATGGTTTCATGTAATTAATATAAAATATAAGTCAGTTGATCTTAGTGGGATAAAAAATCTTGACATAAATCATCATTTACTTGTGAAATATATACTGCATTGCTAATATCAGTGCAAAAAATAGGAATGACTATAATGAGAAGACCTTGAGAAAACAAAAAAACTATGACTATACGATTTTCACTAATCAATCGACGATCCCCTAACAGACAACAACATATGAAAAAAAAATCAAAGATTAGATAATTCACCATCATATTGTACATGTGAAATGTAGCAAATAATAGGTTACTTAGACCATGAAATCTGGATTAACCGGGGCAAAACTTTCAGTGCAGAGAACATTGAAGTAGCGCAATATATTCTAAGAATTTCATCAAAAAAAAATGTCATGATGAACTTGAATACCATGTAAGTCATCATCTCATCCTATACTAGACCAGGGGTGGATTCAGTGACCACGGTAGAATCCTTAAATTGATTACGAAATATTGGAATAACGATGTAATTCAAATATTCGGTGATCACTTTAGGGGCCCAACCGCCGGAACCGCCTACTGGCTGGATTCGCCCCTGTACTAGACTTCCATGCATTCAATATTCAAGCTAATACTTTCATCTTTTTTAATGAATAAATAAAAGAGATACTGATCTTTTTTACTGAAAGAAAAGTTTAATAACGCAGTAGAAATGCTTCACAAGATAGGATGTCACATTGTGAGCTTCTTCATTATTGCAGATGTATAATAGGCATGCAATGTTAGTCACTGAAAATGAAGAAGAATTATGGCATATTCTAGTTAATTTGGGTCAGATTTTTCATACAGTTGTTCTTCACTTGTAATGATGAAGTCCTACTCTAATTAATTGACGATCTATAATTCAATATTTACTTGTAAAAAACTAAATGTTTCCACAAAAATGTTTTCTAAGTGTGTTTGATTGAAAACATATTATTATTTGCTGCTGACAATGGCGAAAATATTGACGTTTTTTGAAAAAAAAGTGTGATGCATTACTCAAATCTATCAATGTAATGAAAGAAAAAAGTACTCGAGCGTACCCTAGTCTGCGAAGCGTAAATCTAAGGTAACCGTCATCTATCATATTCAAGCATTGTGCCTCCACCATGTATGAATACTTTTCATTACCCGAAGTATTGTTTCAATAGAACATTAAAAAAAAACTGAAGCACTTTGTGTGTTGGTTATATAATAATTATATTAAAATTTCATATAAAAGTACTACGAAAACAAAAATTCCAGAGGATCATCAAGCATCATTTACTATAGTTCTTTTGAATATTCTATTGCTTTAATACGTCAAATGTTTACTAATAATTGTATTTTAAAATCTTAGAAATTTGTCATCTTTGACAAATCATATATTAAAAAAAGAAAGAAATTGACAACTTCTCATAGTAAATCCAGCTTTTTTTCATACGACTTATTTCATACTGAATAATCATCTAAGAAACAAACTTACCTTTTTCTTATTCTTCATGTCGTTACCAATAATACTTTATCATCTTAATTTTTTTTAATAATTTGAGATTATGCAAGTATATGTTTATCTCACAATGAATGAAGACAGATATGATCTGTCCTTTTTTGTTGTTATTTTTAATTCAACTGACAGAATATAATTTTGAAAAACGCATGACTCTGTAAAAAAGAAAACATGATAAGAGCAACTAAGTAATTAAAAGTTACTATGAAATTCAAGTAGTGTATAAAGAGAATGTTAAATTTTCATTTTAACAATATTCAAGAAAATAATATATTTCTCGTGATTTTTTATAACCCTTCACTATACAAGATACAATTAGCTTAATATTAAATAATTGTCAGAAGTTTCTTAAATAAATCTTATGTGTTGAATATTTATCTTCTAATACGTTATCTACTTTTCTTGTAAGGTGTCAGCAATTCGAAATTTGAGCGAAACTGTTTTTGACATATTCAAATGATATTGTTGTGATGAAAATTGGAGAAATTTAGTGAAAAAAAACTCTCGTAGACTCATAATAAATTATAATATGTCAAAAGCAGTAAGTGTCGGTGTCCTCAATATTTATCTAAATATTTCTTTTGATTGTACTCGTCATATAGCTAGGAAAAAAGTTTTGTATACTTTCTGAAAATATTATTTGATTGTTGAGAAAATTAACTTTTCCGATATGACAGTAAAAAAGCCATGAATACGAATTTGTATTCACCTAGTTTGACCATTTGAACTTGAGTTTCGAACGAAACGATTAGAATATTCAGAATTAAGACAAAAGCTTGTGTCAAATAGATCATCCATTGCTCAAATCTAATTTTCGTTAAGTTTTGATTCTTACATTAGCTCAATTCATTTTGAAACACTCTTACCTATGCTCGTGCTAAAGTCATAATTTAGCTTCATGTATTGAGGCTACTATTTAATGCAGACTTTTGTGCTAATTTTAAATATGAAATTCGTTTCTTTTGAAACTCAAGTTCAGTTGTTCAAAATTATTGAATGCAATCTTGTATTCATGGTTTTTTTTTTGCTATTCTACTGAAAAAGTCAATTTTCTCAACAATCAAACAATATTTTTCTAACTATGTGACGAGTATAAAATCAAAAGAAATATTTTGATAAATATCGAGACTAAATGCTTTTGGCATATTTCAATTCGTATAGTCTTTTCTGATTGTTTCAACCTAATTTTTCTAAGTTCCACCATTGAAAAAAATATCATCTGACTACGTCAAAAATAACATTTTCTATAGATAACTCAATGAACTTTATTCAACCATGGCAAAATCCACCAAAAACATTTTGCTCAAGTTTCAATCTCTAGAGTCTTACTAAGTTAATTATATGTTTCATATAATATGCACATGTATCAACCATTGTGTTTTTGCTATTCAAATAAATGTGATTTTATTAATATAAACATGTTTTGCATTAACTGCAATCTATCGTCTTTTTTTTTCAGATTTGCAATGCCTAATTTGTTTACGCCCTAGGACCACCAATGCTCATGTTATTGTTTCGTTTAATGACAATAAGAAATTTAGTATGAAATCGTTGTCTTTATTATATCAACAACTAATACTCTAACATTAATTCAAACTAAATAATTCAATAAAGTCGTTACATGATTGTCAATGATTAGTAGAGCTTCTTTTTCAAATAATCATTATTGTAAAATACACTATTCCCTTTGTAATGCAAAAATAGATTGATACATTTTTTCTTTATACACGACAAACATAGTGTCATTTATTAAATGGAATTTTACGTTTATTATCTTGTGGTCAATATGCATTGGAATTTTTTTTTTTATATATTCTTAACAAGAATTCTTTCTATTGAATTATTAAAAATAATCAATATAAGCTTTCAATTTTTTACGAGTAAAAATTTCATCACATGAATAAGGTCACTGAATCTTAGAATGACATTTATGCAAAACGATATCGATGTAACACAAATGATGAATTGTCAACAAGAAAAACGAGCTACGAATAAAAAGAAAACATTCAACATAAAAAAACAAGTGACTATTTTTTTGCAATAGATATATGTATTTATGACGTTTCAAACATTAAGATATATTTATGTTATTGCTAATGTTACGCTTGATAAAAAAAAAATAATAGTTTATTTTTATTTTTACTGATATATAACATTTATTATGATACATTAAACTTTCTAAATAACTATGTACATAGATTGGTAACAGTTCAAAGCATCCGCCAAAAAAATATTCCGTGAAGAATACTCCAGACTTTTCGCTCTTGCAAAAATTTCCCTAATCAGAAAATGTTGCTACAATAAAGTATGTAGGCTATGGGTATTTGTTCTCTGTTTATCTGCTCATCCACCCACATACACACGTATATTCTCATCTACTTCTCAATAATATGATATAAAAAAGAAACAATAATATTCCTGCTGAAATATTTTCATACAAGAAACCATTTCTCATGAATATTTTGACTGAGAACATTTATTCGAGAACATGTATTTCCGAGGACAAAAAACAAAGGACATTTTGACAGAACATTTAAAGTGTATTCGATAAAATATCTCATTCGCCTTTATTTTTCGATTGATACGTCATCGCCCACGTTAATCGTGTTTCATCAGCATTAATCATACGCTTATTTTCTTGTTTATTTTTCGACCAATTAAGTTTTTGCTTTTATGTAAAATAATCATGAGTAATCGACATGATCGAGAGTATATTAACAAGATGCGCAAAAAAAATATTCGTTCACATATTTTCATAAACATATTATTGACTACTTTCGATAAGCAATGGTTTTCGGTTTGATTGCCGCTGGTGCAGCTGCTGCTGGTGCCCTTGGTCTTGCAAGTAGACATAGAAAAGATTCAGCATGTGACAAAAAAGGCGAACGAGACTATGAAGAAGAACGAGTGGTTGAATATCATAGTGAACACGGACATTATAATTATAATTACAATTGCAATTATTACCCTCCACCAATGCAATATAGTTATTATGGATATTCTTATGCTTATCCTCGTTAACTTTTATTCAACACACTATTCTTTTTTACATGGACATATTTCTTTTTTCTGTATCAAATTAAACCAACATTATTAAAATATCTTTCATAAATAAATAACTGACATTATAGATTAAAAAGTAAAAAGAAAATAAAGTATGTTATGCATTGATGACTGTTCTTGACTAAAGAAATACATTTGAAGACAAATTTTTATATGCAGATTCATAGATACATGAACTAATAATGATTTGTTTATAATAATTTATATGGTGTCAATGACTGAATATACTAACGTTGATTATAGAAAAAAAAGAATTTTTCTAACTGTTGAATTTATTAAAAATAATGAGAAATTCTTATCTAATGCAAAAGTCGCATCCGTCTAGGCTGTAATATTTAGATTGTTATCAGATTTTAAGTAGGTTAAAAATTCTAACTTGCTCCTTAGGTAAATCTACCCCATGGTTATATCTTAAATAGAGAGAATAGTTTTTTTGGTCTTACCGTTCCCTACTTATCATCAAGTGATATTTATTAATTTGAAAAATATTTTATATTTTTTTCCATAAATATTTATAATTCATCATAAAAACTTAGCTGTTTTCGTTTTAAAGAAAATCAATGAGATTTCTGTCGAATTCAAAAATCGATCAAATGTTTTTTTCTTTTATGAGTTTCGTTAATAAGGAACCAGCGAAATAATATTGCTTGAAGGAAACATCCTACAATCAATTAAGCTTTCATCAACTTCTTTAATCTTAATTATAATCTAGGGAAATAATTTATGATAAATACATTATTCTTAATTCTATTTTCAATATCAAATAAATGAAAATCATTGTAAGACCAAAGAGTACTATGACATTAAACTATTTTACTTGACTTTCTCAATCTAAGAAGAATAAACTAAGATTTAAATTCATTATAAACATTTCATTATCATTCATAATAATTATTTTCAAACGATAATAAATTTAATATTTCATTTCTTTATCTTCTATTGAATTGTAAAACAAAAAAAACAAAATCGTCAAACACTTGTTATGTTGTTACTAAAAATTTGTTGTGTTTTCTTTTATTCGGTATGAATGTAACAAAAAACAACAACAACAACAGTAAGAAGAGACGACAAATCAGATGTTAATATCGCTTCTTCAATCTTTCAATCATTTGCTTTTTCTTTTGTTTATGTATCGGCTACTGTTACTTCAACATCCACACCTGGTTCAATACTAAAAAGAAAATATAATTTAAAACAAAAAACAAAACATAAATCAATTGTAATTTTGTTCTAACCTAATTGATGTGATTTGTTTAACAATTTCCGATTTTGAATGTAAATCAACAACACGTTTATGAATACGCATTTGAAAACGATCCCAAGTTTTTGAACCTTCACCACATGGTGTTTTACGTGTTGTTATACGTAAAACTTTCGTTGGCATACGAACTGGTCCTTTAACACGTATTTCTTCATCTTTTGCCTTTTGAATTAAATCCGCACAAACTTTTTCAAGCGATTTTACATTTCGTGATGTTAATGTTATACGGATTTTATATTCTTGTTGGTCACCAGCACCAGCTTGAGCAGGAATTTTACCACTTGTTGGATCTTTAGTAGTCATATTTATGATTAATTCACAAGTAAAAGATCTGAAAATAAAATAATAATAATCATGTTAACTCTGAGAACGAAATGTCTAAATAAACAAGTGGAAAACTTTAAATTTTTTAATCACCAATCAAATTTAAGGATAGTATTAAGTTAATTGAATAAAGACAATGTATATTTTTTGTGTGAAAAAATTCTTTTTAAAATATTAAAAATTTTCATTAAAAAATTAAGATTTTAAATGAAAAATAAATATAAATTGTTAAATAATTATTTCTGATGATGAGTGACATCTGTTCAATTCGTATGGCTATTAACAGAAAGCTGTGATTCATAATTCATAAATCATATTTATTTAAAGCCATATGAAACACACAAAAATATGGTGTTTGGAGGAGCTTTTGGATTCATTTTTATCGGATTTACTTTAATTTTTTGCATTACATGGTTAATTCTTCGGTAATTATAAAAATTAAAAAAAAATAATTCTTTTATCTGTATATAAATCTTTGTTTAGTTGTCTTCTAATTTATTTTAAATGGTTTCATGAAATTAATATAAAATATAGTTCGATCAGTCTTAGTGGTATAGAAAATCTTGATATAAATCATCATTTATTTCGTCTTCGTATTAAATATATTAATTTTTTATCATCATTGTCAATATTTATTTTGCAATTACCAGTTATATCAATAAATAATATACATTTGAATATTAATTCAATTAAAAATAAAACTACAACTAAAAAGAAACAAAGAAAAGATTGGCATAAGAAATTATATTTTCTTAAAGTAAACATCTTGTTTGAAATAAAGAAATTCGAAATGATTTTATTTTCAGTATATATCAATTCGAATTGAACAATTAAAAATTGAATATGAAAATATAAATGTTTGTTTTCAACACATTACATTACATCCATCTGTTACACCTAACAATACAAGGTAAATGTAAAAAAAAAAATCATCTTAACAATTGTATGTTGTATTACAAGTAGAAATATAATTATTGTAACTGATCAAATTAAGATTATTATTCTCGATAAAAAATTTCATCAATGTTTAGTCTAGTGAAATGAATTACGCATTTCGTATATTAGCATAGAAATAGAAAAGATTGTAATGTGAAGAATTTGAGAAAACAAAATATATGTATATGCAATTTTTACTAATCAATGTATGAAAAAAAAAAGTCAACAATTAGACAATTCACCATCATATTGTACAGGTGAAATGTTGCAAAGAATAAGTTCGTTAAAGTATGACATTTGAATACATCGATGTGAAACTTGTAGTGTAGGTAGCGTAGCAGTAGTGCAATATATTCTAAGAATTTCATGAGTAAATGTCATATGAATTTAAAAACACCATATATGTCATCATCTCATCCTACACAAAATTTTGATAGTTAAGCCAATATATTCATTGTTTGTATGAAATAATGTCTTAATCATGATTTCAATTCTACTACAATTAAATTATAGCTTGTCCATATGAGTGAAGTTAATAAAAATACAAATAGATATTATATTGTCTCTAAGAAGGTCGACGAGTTCTACTTTAAGAAAATTTTTTTGGTGGAATCTCTGCAAGATTAACATGTATAACGTGATGTTGTTGTTATTGCTAATACAAGGGGATTATTTTATTCTATCTATTTTGAGATACACTTCGTGTCGAGTCTTTTCCTGGTGCAATTTAATAAGGAAGTAGCTCATATATTAGAACGAGACGTTATTGATATATGGTCTATAACCTAGAGAAAGTGTTGTCACGGCATTTATGGAGGTCCAAATTGCTACACCTGTAATTCAACACTCGTTTTAGATCATTTTGTTCTACAAAAGAATGGTTGAAAATCATTATGTGATTGAATTATTGCAAATTCTAGTCATTAATATGTAGAAGCTATGATTTTATTGTATAGAATTCATGCCGTGACTAAGATATTAATTATGATATTCAAGTTCATCATGAAATTGTCTTATGAAATTCTTAGAATATGTTATGCTACCGATAGGTTCTATGTATTGGAAGTTTCATCTCGATTTATTCAGATTTTATACTCTAGCAAACCTATTCCTTGGCTTTGTTTATATACTAATGTCCGTCAGGATAATCTATCGATAAATGAAAACTACATATTCATATCTTTTTGTTTTCTCGAATTCTTTACATTGTACTCATGTCTAGTACTGACAATTGTTAATAAGATTTGACAGCGTAGAAAATTACATTTCATGCATCAAAAAGTTGTTGATTTCTCAATTGATCTCGAAAGTTAATGTATAAAATAAATCTAGAAGATTTTCAGCAGTTTAATTGAAATATATACAAAACAATTTATTTTATATTATAATGTAAGTTTTTTTCACGGGATAAAGCAAAACGATACACAGTTCTATGTTTATGAACATTATTAAATTTTGTATACAAACTAAATTACTTATATCTTCAGATAAATCATAACTTAGAAAATTATATTTGAGTTATTATTTGTTTTCTTTTAGTTCTAATATATGGATTAATTGTGAATATATTGAGTTATCAATTATTGATAATGCAGAACAGTTTTCTACCAATAATTCATCTTTTACATTATTAAAATCAACATGGCATAATGTTGAAATAGAAACAAATTTAGATCAAAATTTACTTATTAATTCAACTCATTGGTCAATTCACGTTGATCATAGTTAGTATTCTATTTTATATAGAAAAAAAAAAACTAAACAAGTCTACGATCTTTATATTTTACTTCTTTTAGCACTATTTGATTATTTAAAACGAAAACAAACTAATTCTACTTTACAACAAGCAACATCAAATTTTCATTATGAAGATTCAAATTTATTATCAATAACTCAAACGACACATTCAAATGATCTATTAACTAAATTCGATCAATGGGTCGAATTTTTTTATGATCCAGCTATTAATATTTGTATTAGACAAATTGATTTACAATATAGATCAATGTAGGTTTTATATTTTTAAATTATTTTCATTTTTGTTTTCATCATTTAGAGATAATACTCTTCATTATCATACATTAGACAAAGCGGACTTTTCATTCCATAATTCTTCGAAACTATCTCCTGAAATACGACATGCATATATCGCTAATATTCGACTTCATTCTCATTCAACTCTTCTTCTTCATGGCTTATGTCAAATAACAGTAAGTATTTAATTGAACACATTAAAAGTTCTCTATATACATAAAAGTTAATATTGAAATACATAATGCATTCTTCTTTATGTAGGAATTATTTTTCTTGTCAACGAAATTCTCTACTGAAAGTCAACAAATTCACTTCTAAGAAACTGTTGAAAATATTCTGTAATCGGAATTGATCTGTGCGAAGAATTTTTTTTTTACTGTCATTGACTCAAATAGTACTTGATTTTTGTTTATTAATTTTTAGTCTATTGAAAAAAAGATATTCGATTGAAAAATCAATAGATCTAAGATTGAGAAACTTTTATATCTATAAAACTCGCTATTATCTACTTTAAATATATATATATATACATATCACGGAAAACTATTTACATCTGTTATTTTCTATCGATTTGACTAGCATAATTTTATTGCAGTAAATCTGTTAATTGGTTTCATTGTTACAAATTTACATTAGTTATAACTGTTCATTTTCTATTTTAATCACATCATCACATCAAATTTATGTTTACTGCTAATCTATAACACTAATGTTAAAATATCTAAATCATGAAAAATATAAATTGATAATTTGAAAATTTTTAGTCTTTTTCTATCAACAACTATCAATATTATAAGAATAACTAAAAGACATAATAAAATAAAATTACATTAATTTTATGAATTATTTTTTAATATAGATATTTCCTACTCGTCTTGATATTGCATGTCAATTCAATGAACTCAATGTTGAATTATGTGAAGATACTATTCAACAATTTCATACATTATTATCCTCTCGATCATCAACATCATCTAATAAGTAAATTAATTAAAAATCGTTAAATTTTATTTTCTATTTATAAATTTCATTCTTTTAGTTCATGGAAATGTGACCGACAAATAGATATATCATTCCAATTTTTAAATCCATCTATGCGTTTAAAAATGAACGATATTAAAGAATGGTTTATTTGGCAAATAAATTTTTTCAAAATAAGTTTTCATTCGAATCAAAATTCAGAAACAAAGTAAATTTCATCTCTATTGATGGATCAAGATTTAGAACAGTTATGTTTTTGAATTTTCTTCTCTATGGTAATATCTAAGAAGAATCTGTAAAAAAAAAAACAACAATTTGAGTAGTTGATAGAATCCCTCTATTAGCATTGTGGAATCTAAAAACTTCAAATCATTGAAATTTTTCATAAAAACAAAAGAAAAATGTTTTTTTGGATATTCAATGAATTGAATACAGTGCATCGAGACATCACATTTCGTTCTATCAAATAAAATCATTTCAGTTTTATTGGAGATTTTAGATTCAGCAATCCTATTAGAAGATTCTTTCAGCTACTCAAATGTTTTTGTTTTTTCAGATTCTTCTTAGCTGTTACCAAAACTAGTACTGTTCTAAACTGTTATTTGCCACTATATATATATATACATATATGTTTTATTTTTAAGAACATTAATCGAATTAAAAAATATGCTAATATATACATCGAATAATAATAATATTCTTTCTCAATCATTAATTGATGATCTTAGTAGACAACATTTATGGAATTGTCTTTTCTATCTACCACATGCTAATATAACCGTATGAAAAACAAGAAATATTAATAAAAAATACGTATTTATTTTTAATTATTTTGTCGTATAGATCTCAAACATTAATACAACACATATACAAATTGAAATAACTGGAATACGTTTACAATCAAATCATATTTTAATATCTTTTTTAAAACGTCTACAAATAATTTTATCTTCATCAAAAAAAACAAAAACAAATTCAAATCGTTTTATTGAAATATCTTTACATATGAAATCTGTTACAGTAGTTATATGTGATACGGTACCCGGTAAATAATATAAAAGAAAATAGTTAGAAATAAAAACTTTAAGTTTGTTTTTCTTTTTCAGTATATTTATGTTTATCAATATCAACAATTCGTGCAACTCGAACACAAATGGAAATGAAAAAAAGTGTTATATTCTTTAATAATCAATCATCGGATAAAGTGGTTTGTATTTAATCTTTAAAAATTTTCTTTTTTTTCAAATTTTTGTTTTTCTTTTAGCCATTAACTTCATTAACACATGGTCAAAAAGTTTTCGATGTTCATCGTATTTCTATTCAACATCATTCAGTAAATATGCAACTTTTTTTTTTTTCGTCAATGTGAAAATTGAAATATATAATTTTGTTTTTTTTTTTGTAGAATAATTATACGATAAAAATATCTCTTCCACATGATTTAACATTTGTCTTGTCAACTAAACTTTATCTATTTCTTTATCGTTGTATATCATCATTCAAATTTAATAATGGCAAAACGACAACAGTATCGAATAGTGATGATAATAACAATAAAAGTAAAAAAATCGCAAATGATATTGAATTTAAAGTAGATAAATGTGCTCGTATTCATTTACAATTATCAACTGATTGCAGGTACATAGAAAAAATTTTATTTATTTAACGTTGATTTGAATTAATGATATTTAAGGGTACCCCCCCCCCCCCCCCCCCCTTTTTACCTTTTTCTACTTTAAGTTGTTTTCGACGCGTCCCAA